GGTTTCGGGGGGGGGGCAGGGAGGCCCGGAGAGCGGCCCCGCGGAGGTCAAGCGGGATGCCCAGCCAGTCCGGGAAAGGCAAGCCGGGGTGGGAGGAGCGCCATTTAAATCAAGGGTAGCGCTGATGTGGAAGAGAAGAGGCAAAAGGGGGGCGGGCGGGTGTGGCCAAAGCTAAAGAAAACCCGAAGGCTGCTGCAGTGTTGCCCTGGGAGCAACGTGCATCCAGGGTCTGAACACCACTGGGCCAGTGATGGGTCAGCTCTCACCCCGGCTCGCGCGCCAAGAGGACGCCCGCAGGTGAAAGGACCCAGGCGGCCGCCGGCATCATATAACGAGGCAGCCTCTTTAAATCCCGTGGTTGCGAGCGCTTCTTCTGGGGATGCTGTCACTAACCCGCTGCGTCCGACAGAAGGGAGAGCCCGACGGCACGGTGGCGGTCCTCGCTTGCTTAACCGCGTGTGCTGACTTGTTGGCGGCGTCTGGGTGTCGCAGAGGGCTGGCCTCCCTCAGCACAGCCCACCTTCACGGTGCATAGGCGAGGTAGCAGAGGCAGACCAGTACGAATTTAACTCGCCTTTTGGAGGGAGTGGGGAGCAGGTGGGCGATTGCCAGAGCAGGTGCTACCTCGGTGCTCCATCTATGGATGGGATTAGGTTTCAGCAGACTGCAGGCAGTGTTGTGGGCCTGTTCCTTGAACAGAGAGTGAGACTGAAGGCCAAAAGTAGACAATTGTGACAGTTTCAGAGGACAACTCCTACAAGCCCATGCCACTTGTTTTACTAGGTAAGGCTAAAGCTGTGCACCACATTGTAGCTATGGATAAACTAGCGGTGCAACCACCTAAAGGCAAGGGTTGGCAGTTGAATCCTTACTGCAGCTGCTGAAATGAATTGTTTCCTGTAGGGGTTTTGACAAGAATGCCAAAGTGGTTTGTAACTACCTTCTTCTGGGAAGCTTTTTCAACTTCCCAGCCTTGGGATTTCCTGATTTCCTCCCATCCAAGTAGTAACCAAATCTAGCAATACTTAACTTTTTGAGGTCAGCCATGTTGATGGATAGGTATTGCTATCTACCTGTAGGTGTTGCTGCTATTGCTGCTTTCCTCACATAATAGCCATGGGTGGTAAAGCAGCATATCATACTACCATTGGTGAATCATACTAACCTTGGTTACCTTTCAACTTTTGTTTTATTTTGGTGGCTCAACACATCATATGAAGTCAGCCTCTTGGCTACTTATGATACAAGGTATTGTGTAAACCCACAAAACATGCAGCTTCAGAAGGCAGGTTAGGATGTTGTAAGAACACAGACCTAGAGTGGGCCAAAGATACTTTCCCACCTAAGAAAAAGCTCAGGATAGTTTCTCATCCCAGCTCCATGCATAGTAACCATTTGGATTGATGGCTGAATCTTACTACACTGCCATACTAGAGGGAATGGGCTAGTTTTGGGCTTCATGTCAGTTGTGAAGCAGAGCACTCCTATATGGGATAGGAATGAGTACAGCATGTGTGAGACTGGCAGGGAGGTTTCCATCGCTGCCCTGTCAGCAGCTGCTGCGTATGGTTCTCCCTGCTAGTAAGGTTGGCCTTGCGCACTTGGAAGAATTCAGGGGAGCTCCCTCTACTTTTTCACTTCTTAGCTCCTCATACTCGCATCAACTCTCAATCTACCTAGAGAGTAGAGGGAGCTACAAATTAGAAAGCAAATCTGAAAGAAGGCGCTGTCTTCTCAGCATCAGCTGACCATTTTCTCTCTCTCTGCAAAGTAGGTGCTGCATTGGACAACTGAGGGACCTCCTATAATCTATCTGGGCCCAGGTAAGCAAATGAGAGAATCTAGTGACTGCTTCTTCTCCACCCACTCTGGAAGATACCTGATTATTCAGCCTCACGGCATTCCATAAAGTGGCCCTTTGGTTTCCTTGTGGAGTTGCAGCTGGGCTGGAAAACTGAACTCATACATGGGAAAATCTTGTTTCCCTTGAGCTTAAAACAAGTTTGGAAAATATGTCAACCAAGAGATGGAGCTAGAAAGCTAGAGGGCTTTGGTAGAATACAGATCGTATCCTCTTCCCCCTATCCCCACTTAAACACACAAACACGGTTTTTAGGTCATTATTATGTGTGCGTTTATATTTATATCTTGCCTTTTTGTCTGACAGAATGGCCCAGCCAATTAATGGAAGTAAGATATACAATTAAAACATAATTAAAATGCACATACACATTCAAAACTTCATAAAAATGTTCCAAGGCCTGGTTAAAAAGGTGCATAGGAGAAAAAGTCCTATGGGTAGAAAGAGAACAGGCCAAATGCAACTCTGAAGAGATTGGGTTCCATGCTTTGTAGGCTGTACAACAGAATGCCCTTTCCTGTATGTTTGATGAATGGCTGCTAAAAGCCACAGGCATCCCACATTCTTGAAATCTGAACCACTCCATAACAGGAGTAAAGGTGTCCCACAGTTTCAAGCCTTAGAACTAGATTGGGTCATAAACAGCCTTTTGAATTTCACTACCAAATTTGTGGGCAGAGAATGGGTGGATAGTTTTTCCAGAGGAAGAAGAAATTCTTAAATGTTTTCTCAGGAGCAGAGGTCTCCTTTAGCACTGTTACTGAAAAAGCCCGGTGGGGTAAATAATTGAAATGTAAGAAGTCAAGGATGCAGCAAACCTCAGGAAGAAAAATTGTACAGAAAAAGATAGGACACACATCTCTGGCCATCATGTAAATAAGTAAGTGCAAGAGCATCTCATTCCATTTACAAACTTTTATCTGAAGTATACGTCTCCCTTGAAAGAATTTGTAAATAAATTCTCTTTCAGCAAGTTGAATGAGAATGGGAAGTAAAAGAATGGAGTAAAGCATTTTTCCTAGCACTATTTAGAATTAAACACTTGAGTTGCCCATAAAGCAATTGGCAACCATTGAAAGTTCTTCATATTAGCCCTTGATGACTTACATATATACATCACACTATTCCCTTTTGCAGTAAGGAATGTTGTAGAGTATAAAAAAGAAATAAGCCAAAGAAATTAAAAGTATGAGATAACATAGGGAAGTAACTAAAACACATTTACACCAACACTGTTCACTATATCTCTCCATACATTTTTATCCTTGCAAATGATCCTTATTTCCAACATATCCCTCCACAGCTATATATAATCCTTCTTTTCATATATTGGCAGTACTTATATTGCATATACCTCCTGTTTGGTGGGATGCAGGCAACAGCATGTTGGCTTGCAAAGTAGTCTCTAGATTAGAGATCCCAGTTTGCATAAAATAGGGGGGGCATACAGGAGGGGGACTGGGTTTTGGTTTTACTTATGACATAATGTCCAAAATGTGCCAAAGCTGCTTTTACTGTCCTTACTGAAAGCAGTGAAGGATGCATGTGGCACAGATATGATTAAGGTTGGTAACCTATCTACGCCTTCTCTATCTGACTAAAAAGCGTAATGTGGAAGTCTTGATTATTTTATTCATTTCCTTAGGGAAAGATGAAAAATATAAATGGCTGTAGATTTGAATTTGAATTTACAACAGTTGATATCTTTCATCTTTTCCTAAGTTTGAGAAGCCAAGCTGAAATTACATTCAGATAAGACATCTCAAGAGTTCTGGGTGAATTTCTCTATTTATTATTTATTGTACATGAGGGATAAGGTAAAATCCTGTGGAGCACCATAGGTTATTAGCTGAGGTCATCTTTTGGACAGAACATGACTGGAGGGCATGGAACCACAGTGTCTTAAATGCCCAGCTGTTCTAGATGATCCAGGAACATCCCATTGCCAATAATGTTGAAGTTTCCAAGAAAAGAAGGTCATGCTGTCCATATCCAGCTTCTGATAGAGCAATTCACTACTGTATATCACTAGTCTTATAAAAAGCCTACCCTATAATCCTCCAGTGTCTAACCAAGTGTCAGTTTTGATAATACAGGAAGTAGCCATAATATACTTACTTGATTATTGACTACTGTTTGACATAAGAATGGGATTGTTGTCTCCAAGTATTGTTGCACAAACGAGCAGCAGAGTGTGGGAATGTTCCCTGCTTGTATGGTTCTCTGGATCACATGGAAGACT